ACTCAAGGATCTTTAAGGTGATGGCAAAAAGATGAATGGGGGGACAAGGAAAGACAAGCTAAAGTTGGGAAAATTCTAAATTATGGAAATTATTTTGCATAGCCCGAATATAAAGAAGGTTGATGGACTAGAAAGGGGAAAATAAAATCGTGATTTTTAAATAAATATTGCAAGTGCATACCCTTATGCCCACAGATGAGACTGTTGAATAAAATCTCTCATTGCATTTACTATGAAAGATTGGTCTAGAATTAAGTCATGGGAATGTTTCGGCAGTGCTGCAAACTCACTGAATAACAGAAGAGGGAAGAAACTTGCTCAGTGCCAGCCATTGAGAAGTGCTAGATTTGATGCGAGACCTTGCATTTTTAGAGTAATGATTCTCTTAGAGGAACTCAGAATTATATTATAATGAAGCATTCTGATTTGAGCTATAATAACCTGGAGTATACATGCTAAAGACGAAGCTCAGGACCTGTTCTTGTTTCAGCAGCAACGTGGATATTCCAAAAGGAAGACATAATCACTGAAATAAGCAGTAATAGTTGCTGGGCACTCGCCTAGCATATATTTCCTACTCACAATAGAATAAGAAGCAAAAATTGCCCTATGGTGCCAAGGATTGCTATTTTCTCCTTCACTGGCATGTTGAAAAGACAAAAATCTGGCTTTATAACCAAATGAAAGAATGAAAAATTCACTTCAAGGCTGAGGACCTATTTTCCAGTTTTCATCCCAAAGAATATTTTATTGAATAAGTGAAAAATAGCTTGAAGAAAAACAGGAACCAAAATGGAAACTGACAACAGCCCCTTAACAATGAAATAATTGTTAGGTTTGAAGTGCCTCTTTGTGTAGTGGTTGAATTGAGTAATCATGAAACAGATAATATTTTGTAAGGTGTGAATCTATTACTAGAAATACCAGTGTTGCCCAATGAGCCATGACATCTCCTATTTGATGAATATATTATCTTCAGCAGAAAGCTTTGTAGCAAAGACCCATGGGAATGGGAAAATATCTAATTTCTGGCATGCATTTTCAACTTTCCATTTTCAGGGGAAGTAATTGTCTCGAAATGAAAAAAGAAACAGAAATTAAAATTCAGACGCTGACATCAGATCACAAATCTAAGGTAAGACAATGCCCATTTTTGTAGCAGTGACTTGCAGAAGACACTTCGTAATTTTTTAGAAGGAGTACATATTATAAATCAGAAATAACAGTAGCCCAGAGCTGGTCTAGTAGCCTGCAGCTGATCTGAGATGTCAGGGGAGCCCAGGGTTCATATTTGCCTCAGCCTCACTGGCTTTAAGAGCCATTTCATGGAACATCTTCTTTTGTCTTGTCTGTTGAACTATACTAACAATATTTATGTTGCCTGCCTCAGAGGCATCAAGTAAAACAATAAATGAAGATACTAAAAGGAAACATTATATAAAATACAGAATATACTTCCCTATAGAAATAACATTAAACATAGGACAGAAAACCGCCCAAATTGGTAGTTGATACTTACTCCATCCTAACTTTACATGGAAATTTGGGATGAGAAAAAATTAAGAGGTGATATTCTAAAACAGAAGCCTAATTACTCACATTTTCTTAAAGACAGGAGAAAGTAGGAGCTTGAGAGACTTTAATCAAGTTTGTGGGCATTTGGAGAACTAATTGTTAAGTCCCAGTTAAGAACAAAAACAATTCTTCCAGGAATAATAGTTTTTAAATGAAAAGGAAAAAAAACCACAACAACAATTGTTAAAGAAAGCTCCCAAAAATAGCTGTGATCGAACCAGCCAGCCTCATTTATCTATATGCAGCTGTGTCATCTGGCCCAGTGGCCCTGCTGCATGCATGGAGCAGCCAAGCTGTTCAAGATGTTCTCTTTGGTGGCTGTATATTTTGTAGGGCATGAACTCTATAGAGGCAGTAAGCCACGTGTCTTTAAGAGTTATTCAGCACCTATCTCTTCTTAACTGGAATGTTTGGGAATTAGTAGTCGTGCAAACTGTCATGATTCTTAGATGCTTGGCATCAATAAGAGAAGCCTTGGCAACAGTATCAGTTTGCTTTTGCTGTATAATGAACTGTGTCAAAGAACAGCACATTAAAACAACTACCACAGTTTATTAGGTCACAATTCAGTGGGTCAGAAATTTGGGCCGTACTTCTGCTCATTTTGGCTGGAGACACTTGTGTATCTACAGTCAGTGGGGGGCGTATGGCCTTACTTATGTATCTGGTAGTTGGCTGGCTGTTGGTTGTTTTCCCACATGACCTATCAACCTCCAGCAGGCTAGCACAGGCTCAGTCACAGGGTAGCCACAGGGATCCAAGCATAGCAGAAGGGCAAGTACTTTCCAGCCTCTGCTTGCATCACATTTGCAACTATCTCATTGGCTAAAGCAAGTCACAGGTCACCCAGATTCAAGGAGCTGGAGAAATAGACTCCAGCTCTTGACAAGAGGCACTGCAAAACCCCATTGCAAAGAGCTTCGATATTGGGTGGGGAAGACTTTCTACCCTAGTGTCTATCAGGGTGACACAGTAAGTCATGATCCAGAAATAAAAGAACACACAGCTCTCTATTCAAACATGTGAAATCTTCTGAAAACCCGGAAAGTGAAGCTGGAAAAACATAAGGTGATAAAGATAATCCTAATGGAATTGGTAAAGGAGCCCAAGGCCTGCACAAACCAGAGTGGTGGCTGAGTGTGGTGGCTCACGCCTGTAATCCCAGCACTTTGGGAGGCCAAGGCGGGTGGATCACCTGAGATTAGGAGTTCAAGACCAGCCTAGCCAACATGGTGAAACCCTGTCTCTACTAAAAATACAAAAATTAGTTGGGCGTGGTGGCACACGCCTGTAATCCCAGCTACTTGGGAAGCTGAGGCAGAAGAATCGCTTGAACCCAGGAGGTGGAGGTTACGGTGAGCCGAGATCATGCCACTGCACTCCAGCCTGGGCAACAGAGGCAGACTCTGTCTAAACAAAACAAAACAAACAAATAAACAAAAAACAAAACAAAGTGTGTGAGGCAGTGAAATAAGGGTTCACAATTAACTATTCAGAGCCAAAGCAATTGACTTATTTTAATAAGCAATAACTTCCTGCTTCCCATTGATTAATACATATTATTTTTTGGTGATTATAGGTGTCTCATGATTCACCAAGTAAATTGGTGGGAGGAATCTGAAACATCTGAATAATGTTGTGCTTTTGAGTTCATACCTGACCTATGAGGATTACAATGGCACTGTCCCCTTTTTTCCAAACAGGTCAAAGAGATTGTAGCACAGCACACAAAGGAATGGTCAGAAATGATCAATACCCACAGTGCTGAGGAGCAAGAAATCCGAGACCTGCACCTCAGCCAGCAGTGTGAGCTGCTGAAAAAGCTACTCATCAGTGCCCACGAGCAGCAAACCCAGCAGCTGAAACTGTCCCATGACAGGTGGGGGAATTGCCATCTCCAGAGTAAACATCTAATCTTTAAAAACAAAAGCTGATTTTGTGTATATAAGAGAACCAAGGTAATAAGTGAAATCAATTTGACATACAACATGTAGCTCTTTTGTGTATCTCATCATATGGCTGATTATGAGCAAGATGAGCTATAAGAAATGGCCCCCACGGGCCAGGTGCAGTGGCTCACACCTGTAATCCCAGTGCTTTGGGAGGCCAAGGCAGGAGGATTACTTGAGCCCAGAAGTTCGAGACATCTCTATTTTAGAAAAAGAAAAAAGAAATGGTCCCTGCCATCACAGGGCTTACAGGTGTTGGCAGGATACTACACCCATGTGAAAAGTTAAATCAGATAACAAAGTAGCATATGACACATATTTTTAAATGTCATGGACACTAAGGGCATCCAGCTCAGAGGAGCTCTACCTTTTCAGTGTGGTCACGGAGACTTTTCAAAATGGTAGGGCTGGAACTGGCCTTTGGAGAATGATCTGGAGTCTCTTAGGAAGAAAAGACACACAGAGAGATAAAGATCAATCAGTTGATTTCCTAGAGTGACCAGGTTCTGATCATTTAATGGCTACCTGTGGAGAGAGCCTCCCTTTCCCTTCCTTACAGTGTTAGGACTTCTGTGAATTTTGGAAAGATAGACCTGATTAAGAAACAGCAAAGTATCAGTTTTGGCCTGTGCCCACTTCAGCAAAGTGAATATTGCATTTGAAATACTGCAAGCCATGAGCTGGACTTATCCCTGAGCAGAAGGAGGTTGGTGTTTGTTACATCTTTATCATAGCTCAGTTGCAGCTTGCTTGGTTCTCACTTAGTGCCTACCGTATGCCACAGTTAGGGTCTATTGAGACACAACAGGAGTAGAAAATAGAAGCATTATACAAATAAATCAAACAAAAAGTGTTTTTAATGCCAACTGCATAAATTATCTGGCTGCATGCCCAAATTCCCAGTGTTACTTTGGAGTGACAGATACTGCCACAAGAACAAAGTGTTTTTGCCATGGTTTCCAATTCTCATTTGAGGCAACTAAATGAGGTCTCACATGCTCCATTTTCTGTGGGATAATGTGCTGTACCCCCATGCATTTTAAAGCATTCTATTTACTCCTATAGGATTAGAAGTGGTCTTTTCTTTTTTCCTTAGAAATGCTCTTGATTCACTATGCAGAAAGGTGTGTTCATCATTCTGCCTTTGATGATTGCTACAATGCCAAATTTTAGTGCCTACCTTTATTCAAAGATACTTCACGGAATACAGCACGGCACTTGTCTAATCTTCTTTTACATTGTTGAATAAAGAAAAAAAACATTAGCTCACAACAGTAGGCATTATCTGAAAGGAAAAAACAAAATATACTAATTCTTGAATTGCTTAGGAAGTCATTTGAAGAGATCATGACCTAGTTACTAAAATACTTTTAAAAATAAATCCATGGGCTTCCTGCCAAGATGGCTGAATAGGAACAGCTCTGGTCTGCAGCTCCCAGTGTGATCGATGCAGAAGACGGGTGATTTCTGCATTTCCAACTGAGATACCTGGTTCACCTCACTGGGACTGGTTGGACAGTGGATGCAGCCCAAGGAGGGTTAGCCGAAGCAGGGTGGGACATCACCTCATCCGGGAAGCACAAGGGGTCAGGGCACTTCCCTATCCTAGCCAAGGGAAGCCATGACAGACCATACCTGGAAAAACAGGACACTTCCGCCCAAATACTGTGCTTTTTCCCAAGGTCTTAGCAATCGACAGACAAGGCAATTCTCTCCTGTGCCTGGCTTGGCAGGTCCCATGTCCACGTAGCCAGGCTCACTGCTAGCGCAGCAGTCTGAGATAGAACTGTGAGACAGCAACCTGGCCAGGGGAGGGGCGTCTGCCATTGCTGAGGCTTGAGTAGGTAAACAAAGTGGCCAGGAAGCTCGAACTGGGTGGAGCTCACCGCAGCTCTGCAATGCCTACTGCCTCTATAGACTCCACCTCTGGTCAGGGCATAGCTGAACAAAAGGCTACAGACAACTTCTGCAGACTTAAACATCCCTGTCTGACAGCTCTGAAGAGAGCAGTGGTTCTTCCAGCACGATGTTTGAGTTCTGAGAGCAGAGAGACTGCCTCCTCAAGTGGGTCCCTGACTCCTGTGTAGCCTAACTGGGAAACATCACCCAGTAGGGGCCAACAGACACCTCATATAGGTGGGTACCACTCTGGGACAAAACTTCCACAGGAAGGATCAGGCAGCAATATTTGCTCTTCTGCAGCCTCCACTGGTGATATCCAGGCAAACAGGGTCTAGAGTGGACCTCCAGCAAACTCCAACAGACCTGCAACTGAGGGACCTGACTAGTAGAAGGAAAACTAACAAACAGAAAGGAATAGCATCATCATCACCAAAGGGTCATCTACACCAAAAGCCCATCTGTAGGTCACCAACATCAAAGACCAAAGGTAAATAAAACCACAAAGATAGGGAGAAACCAGAGCAGAAAAGCTGAAAATTCTAAAAACCAGAACACCTCTTCTCCTCCAAAGGATCACAGCTCGTCACCAGCAATGGAACAAAGCTAGAAGGAGAATGACTTTGACGAGTTGACAGAAGTAGGCTTCAGAAGGGTCAGTAACAGCAAACTTCTCTGAGCTAAAGGAGCATGTTTGAACCCATTGCAAGGAAGCTAAAACCTTGAAAAAAGGTTAGACGAATGGCTAACTAGAATAAACAGTGTAGAGAAGACCTTAAATGACCTGATGGAGCTGAAAACCATGGCAGAAGAGCTTCGTGACACATACGCAAGCTTCAATAGCCTATTCAATCAAGTGGAAGAAAGGGTATCGGTGATTGAAGATCAACTTAATGAAATAAAATGAGAAGACAAGATTAGAGAAGAAAGAGTAAAAAGAAACGAACAAAGCCTCCAAGAAATATGGGACTATGTGAAAACACAAAATCGGTGTTGGATTGGTGTACCTGAAAGTGACGGGGAGAATGGAACCAAGTTGGAAAACACTCTTCAGGATGTCATCCAGGAGAACTTCCCCAACCTAGCAAGAGAGGCCAACATTCAAATTCAGGAAAGATGGAGACCACAAAGATACTTCTCAAGAAGAGAAACCCCAAGACACATAATTGTCAGATTCACCAAGGTTGAAATGAAGGAAAAAATGTTATGGGCAGCCAGAGAGAAAGGTCGGATTACCCATAAAGGGAAGCCCTGCAGACTAACAGTGGACCTCTCAGCAGAAACCCTACAAGCCAGAAGAGAGTGGGGGCCAATATTCAACATTCTTAAAGAAAAGAATTTTCAACCCAGAATTTCATATCCAGCCAAACTAAGCTTCATAAGTGAAGGAGAAATAAAATCATTTACAGGCAAGCAAATGCTGAGATATTTTGTCACCACCAGGACTGCCTTACAAGAGCTCCTGAATGAAGCATTAAACATGGAAAGAAACAACCTGTACCAGCCACTGCAAAACCATGCCAAATTGTAAAGACCATTGATGCTATGAAGAAACTGCATCAATTAATGGGCAAAATAACCAGCTAACATCATAATGACAGGATCAAATTTACATATAACAAAACCTTAAATGTAAGTGGGCTAAATGCCCCAATTAAAAGACACAGACTGGCAAATTGGATAAAGAGTCAAGACCCATCAGTGTACTGTATTCAGGAAACCCATCTCACATGCAGAGACACACATAGGCTCAAAATAAAGGGATGGAGGAATATCTACTGAGCAAATGGAAAGCCAGACAAACAAACGAACAAACAAACAAAAAGCAGTGGTTGCAATCCTAGTCTCTGATAAAACAGACTTTAAACCAACAAATATCAAAAGAGACAAAGAAGGCCATTACATAATGGTA